TTTTCCTTCTACCTTTTCTAGCATTATGGACTTGTCAAGAGAGCTAGATCTTCACATAATGCGTACAAAATATGATAAGTTGAGCCTGATCATTTGTGCCTCGAATGAGAACTCTGGATTGATTTGTTCTGTGATGCATTTGTCTGGGGGTTTTTTGTTTTTGTTTTGTTTGTGTGTGTGTTTTGCGGGGAGCTATCTATAGTATTCTCAAGAGTTTTCTCCAGCACCAAAGTTCAAAAGCATCAATGCTCTTTCTATCCTGCTTCGTCAAAGTCCAATTTTCTCTTCCATAGAGTGTCCCAAGGGGCCACTGGCTTAGATGACTTTAAAAGAATTAGATTTCTGTGAGGGAAGTCTGTCAAAGAAGATTAGCCAAGACTAATGAAATGTGCAGCGTGGAGGGTTTCTATAGGTAGTCCTCAGTTAACGATGGTAATTGGGACCAGGAAATCTGTTCCTAAGCAACATGGTTGTAAAGCATGACATCACATGACGACAACTTATGACGGCAGTTCCAGTTGCCATCATTAGGCAAATCCCACATGTTCATTAGGTACAACCTCACGTGATCACCATTTGCAACCTCCTGCCAGCTTTGCTTGTTGGAAAACTGCAGTGAAGGTCATAAATGGTGATCAAAGCACCTGGTAACAGTGATGTCCTCAAGAGCTTGCTGCTGTTCTCAGAACACCAAAAATAGCATCACAGCACCATACCTCAAGCTGCACTCCTTTTGTATACCAGGGAGTCCTCACGACACACACACTAAAGAGGCGTGACTTGCATCCCAGTGTCATGGTACTTCTTTCATCGTTCTGTGCGTCCCCTCCAGACAGTGCTGCTACTACATTTAAATTACGCACATAAGTGCTGTCTTCTGGGATTTTTTAAAATTTCCCAGTCTAATCTATAGCCCTGGAGTTCCCTGGTGAGCTCCCATTTATTAACCAGGTCTGATCCTGCTTGTACAAAAGTTCATACACATGTATGAAAAGCCCTTATACATATAAATTTTGTTGCATCGCTTCTTTCCTTTTTTTTCTTTAGTTTTTTTTAAATTATTATTATTGCTGTTCTATTTTGTTAAATAAATAAGGCCAAAAAGAAAAAGAAAAAACTTACCAGCCTAGCCAACAACTGGTATTCCTGATTAATACTTTGGTCTCCCATCAAAGGGCTAATCAGGTATGACCCTGCTTAGCTTCCAAGCCCAGGCACATTGCCTTCTTCAAAGACCATACCTGCCTACTGTCTCTTACAACTCTGTAAGAATTGCCTCTATGCCCCAGCATTTATATTCTGCCAGGATTGGCTTTTTTTCTGTAATCTGCTCCCATGCCTTCTTTTTGTGGGCTTCTGTGTGTAGTTTCACACTAGTTTCTTCTTCACGCTTAGCTCCCTTGTTGTATCCCAAACACAGAAAGGCCTGCACCGACCAGCTGAAGTTAACTGAAGCCTGTGCTAAAAACAATCATCTTACATGATTTATATACAGTCCCTAAACGGTTTTCTATTAAGTTCGCTATAAAATAAAATTTTATAGTTAAATATATTGCATTGGTTGAAATTAATTAAAAACCAGTTGCACTGGTTTTTCAGATTCAGAGAACAAGTGCCATTTTGATAGTAGCAATGTGCATTATGAAACTTACTATATGCAATTATTTGTTCTTATATTTTGAATCCACTGAACACATTTTTTTCTGTGTTACAATGGCCTGCGGCCAACATTAAACAACTATTGTATCCACTGAGAATAAGGATCGTGCTTTACATGTGCTGATGTCTCTAACTTCCTGCTGTTAGGACAAATGTTTGCCAAATCTGGGCTTTTACGGGGCTAATCATCATCATTATCATCACCCCCATTATCATCATCTATCCGTTGAGTTCCCAAGTGAGTAGAGATATTGAATTCACAGCTCATGACTTGTGGAAAATAACAGGTATTTGTGGCCAGAGGCAAGCTTGCCCCGGGTGCTCTCCTACCCAGGAAGAGATACGTATGTACTCAAGTGCTGTATCTTTAAATATCATCTTAACTTTGGATCCAGTTTTACTGCAGTTGCCGAGGTCCTTCTACCTATTTGTTAGATTAATTGGATCTCCCCCTCAACAAGCATGAGGAACTGTACTGTTGTGATCTGTAAGATGGATGCTACAATGTACACTACCCAGGCTTTTCTTTAAAGTCATGTGGAATCTGCACCAAAGAGGTGAATTTGATCTCCACTGAGCAACAGTAATTCACCAGAGGCCCATACTTGGAGTCTCTGCTGCAAGCCATATTTGGAGAAGTCAAGACCTAAACCAGGAACATGAACTCTTTTTTTAGTGCTGGGATGGAGAAACTGAGCAGACGCATGTTATTAATACAGTTTGTATCTTTTTAATCTGCTAAAATTCTCCCATCCTTTTCTTTCAGGTTAAGCCAACAGAAAACTCCATGTGTGTTGGAGCTCTTCTTTTTCTCTGCACGGGCGACTTTTACTTGAACATCAAGTTCCACGAAGACAATTCAAACAAGGAGTTTCCCCCTTCATGGTTTTGCCTGCCCAGTGTTCACATCCGAGCAGTGCAGTCTGTGATCCAAACCAAGTTGTAGATGTCAAAGTATAGTGTAATATTGCATTGACCACCTTGCTCAGCAAGGCTGGGTCTGGGTCCCATTTACCTCCCTCTTGCTTTCTAATCCAAGATTTCTACATGCCCTAGAGAGGCACGCTCAAGTACTACCTACAGGTAGCTAACTGTAACTGGACAATTGCTTTTGTTCATTTGAGAAGAGGTAATTGTGAATACTGAAACTGAACTGAATTTTCTTCCTTCAGAATGGTTTACAGGATGATCTCCTTTTTAGAAATATGTTTCGGTTGCTGTTAAAATATAACACTGGCCTGTATCTATCGATTTTTGAAAAAATAATCTTCAAGTTAATTGAATCAATGCTTGTCTACTTGGATGATGTCTATAAAGTTATCTTAATATAAGTCATGACCTGCACTTCTAAATTCTTTTTCTGTGTTCACTTGAATTTTCTGTGTTCTTTTGAACTTTTAAAAATATTCTAAAATCTTTGAACGGTATAGGAGACTCAAAGGTTTTCTTCTTTTGCTGGCAGAGTCAGTTTCAGTTCTCAGGATTGGATTTAAATACAGTTGTTGACAATCTCTACCTTTTTTTTTTTCTTTTTGTAAACCAGTCCAGTTTGAAGACTGTTGTGCCAAAACATAATTTGATCGTTCCACCAAGGTGTCAAATTCCTGTTTTTGCTTTGCCACTTCTGATCATCCTGAGTTTGCAGCCTTTGAAAATATACTCAAGGGACAATTCTGCTACTTTTCTCTTCAGCTGAATTTCAGAAGCATTTGGCACAGATAAGCCTTTGTGTAGTTGAATGAACTGGTGCTCAAACTCAGTATAATTTAAAAAGAAAAAACTAGCATATGACCAGAAATGCAGGATCTATGGTCTTGACCATGTGCTGCTTCCTAGGGAGAAGACTGGATAGAGCTTCAAGTACATGCATTCTTTCTCCTTTTCTCTCCTTCTTCAGTGGAGACCAAAGGGATGAACTGAACTAGTTTGCTTTTGATTTAGGCAGTGGGATTTGCCTGACAGGTGTGCGCAGATGGAAGTAGAAGGAATGGCCTGCCAAGGAAAAGAATTTCAAATAATTATAGCCCATCCCTTTAGTTCCCTTTAGCTGTATTATTACACTTGCTATGAACTGCCATTTGCAAAAGCAGGCATGGGACCATGGTTTGCCCCATGGTTTCTTAGGGGAGTGATTAGTTCACTTTGCAGAGAGTTCAGTCCAGCCAACTGCTGCTTCTAACCCAAAGAGCCTAACCTTGAAACTCTCTTTCTAATTTAGTGTGGTGTATATTTCAGTGGTCTGGTCTTCTAACTACTTTTGAAGAACACAAAGTGTTCTTCATTTTTTATGAAGAACGTTGTTTATATAAAATCCAGCCCACAAAAAGGATTCATTCTGATCTTTCATCCTTCCGTGTTTCTTTGGCTGAAGACATAGTTTAATTTTGTTTCTTTTTTGCAAATAATCAAAAACATATTTCAACAGGATGGGGTAATGGGATTGTAAGCTGAATTTGCACTGGCTTCAATGGGTGTTGATCTAGGCCTGAACTAATTTTTTTCAAAAAAGAAGTACCGAAGTCAATCAGTGGCAGTAGAGCAAGGAGATCAATATTCAGGGCAACCAGGCAGTTGCGTGAGTGATGCTCGCCTAAGGGATATCTTTCTCCCACACATTTCCAGCCTTCTTTGCTTAGTGTGCATTATCATCCAATATTAAATAGCAGTCTCGGGAGCTCATGGAGCAGAAATCTTGATTCTGCATTTTTGTTTACAAAGAGGATTTTAGACTATACATCTTCCCTCCCCTTGTAGCAAGAGATAGTTATCCTATTTCACTTGGCTGACGTATAGGTCTCTCCTGCTGAGAATAAAGGTTCATAAAGGCCAAATCCATGGAAAATGCCACACTTAAAATGTCCCTAGAAATGAAGCATTTGCTTCAGTCCATAATCTCTATATTTTGATTGGATTTTACGTAGTGTTTTTTTAATAAGAAAAATCAATCTGCATTCCATTTTGACATGGATCAAGTCTGCATTTTACTTTATTTCTTTTCTCACCCAGCAATACACTGTATTGTAGAGATTATCTGATAATGGAGACATTGGCAGCCTCGATGTTAAGCTCACTTTTATAAAATCACTGGATTTCTTCTACTCAAGTTTTAAAAGAGCTGTGCTTACTCTTCAGTGGAGCATTACCTAAAGAGTCAAAATCCATGTAGCGATTTCTTCAACGAGTTATTGGCTGTTGTTACCTGTACTGCTTGCTTTGGATGAGCAGGTAACGTTTTCACTTGTGCTAATTGATCAAGAAATCCTGGTCACTCATCCTAGCAACCAATACCATTCCCAAATAAGCAAATGTTTCTGTATTGTCTTTGCTTTTTCATTTCTGAGCTCTTGCAAGTACAACTGAGAAAGCCTCATGTCTAGATGTTCCACCTTGCAGTCAACTCACACACTGCTTTTCAGTAAGATCTGCTTAATAATAAATATTGCTCCATGCAAAGTGACCTTCCAAATTGGTTCCATTATAGAAATGTAGCATCTGTCCCTCCTCTTGCTCACTTGAATGATTATCTGGTTTGGCATTTTCCCATTTGTGTTTGCTTGCACAAATCCTAAGAAGAGACAAAATGTTGGTTCTAATAGTTTGAGAATCCTGAAAATGATGAGTTTCTAGTTAGAGGTAAATTTCCTAACGTAGTAATAATTATTTCACAGATGTGCATTTGTGTGTCTTGACACATTCACATGGAAGTATATTCCAAAGGGAGTTGTAGCCCCACCTCTGTTTTATTTCCTTATCTTTGATATATTAAAATCTTTAATATATTAGAATTCCATTGGCATTTCCTGCAGAGAATGCACTTAAAAGATAGCATCTCTGTGCATGTATGTGTAAGTTATTGTCTTCAACTTCTCCTCTTCAAGAAATGCAGTTGATGTTGTTATCTCCTAATGTGGTATGTAATGGGTCAGCTCTTGCTTGTAAACCTGATGTGACACCATTAAATGAGTTAAGCCCTTCCTTGTTTTAAAATCTGTTACAAACTCAGGACTGAATTCAGCCTGTTCTGTGTATGCTAGACAAATTGAAATCATAAATTATTTGAACTTGTCAAATAAATAGCTTTTGGGGTTTTTATCCAATTGCTTGACTGACTTTATTTTTGTTGTGATTTTTATCATTTCTAATTACATGTTCCCTTAGCAGCAGATATGATCTGGAACAGTAAGGAAGAGTTTCTTACTGTTTCTTCAGATTCTCCTTCAATCCTGTAATATCAACCTTTTTTAAATACAAGGTTTCTTGAAATAAAATGTTATTCAAGGAACCTCCCCTAGAGAATGTATTTATGGCTATGCTCTAGCATCTTGAATTTAAAATTGTGTAGGAGGAGCAATCAAGCGTGAATCCATTGGGAGGCTCAGACTGATTTTTCTTATGGCTTCTGAAATTAAGGAATAGGTATAATTTATCAGCTGTCACAAAGTATTAACATTTGCCAATCACGCAGTCTCTGAGACTAGTTTTGTCTCTTGGCTCTCAGTAGTCATTTCTGTTTGTTGCAGAAATTCCCAAGCCATTTGAAAAGTTGGTCAAGATATGGTGGCCGAGATGCACAGTCCCAGGATGGAATGATCTGTGCTAGTGATCAGTTATCTCCTGGGCACCATTTAAGGCACTGATAGTGGCCTTTGAAGCCCTAAATGGCTTTAGGGCTTGATTTTTCTGGAATGTGCTCCTCTGCTAGGAACCTCCCTAACTCTTTTGAAATGGCCCTCCCCATCAGAAACTCAGCTATTGGATATGTGGGAGTGGGCCTTCTCCTTCATGGTCCTCCAGGCTATGGATCCTCCTCCTAAGGTACATTTTACTCCAATACTGACTCTAACCCACACTCCTAGTTTTTAGGACAATGTTAAAAAGGCATCAATTTTGCCAGGCATTGAATTTTCAATTATTTTAAATTACTGATTTGAAGCTTAGGGTTGGTTTTGGCCAAATCCATTTTGTTTGGGGTTGGGGGTTGTGTTGTTTGCTTGAGGGTAAACAGGCAGGCTGTACCTTCAAGTAATGCATACATGCATACATACATGGATTTGACTCGCATGTGGATTACTGCCACGCGCTGTACATGGGGCTGCCCTTGAAGAGCATTCGGAAGCTTCAACTGGTGCAAAATGCGGTTGCACGGGTAACAGATAGTGCTGGATATGTGGCACATGTAACACCACTGCTACTGGAGCTGCATTGGTTACCACTATGTTTCCAGGTGCAATTCAAGGTGCTGGTTGTCACCTTTAAAGCCCAGCATTGCTTGGGACCGGGTTACCTGAGGGACCATCTTCTCCCAATAGTTTCTGCCCATCCAATTCGGTCTAGTAGATGGGGGATGCTGCAGATCCCATCAGCCAAGGAATGTTAGCTGGCAGGGACCGGAGGGCGTGCCTTCTCAGCAGCGGCCCCTGCCCATTGGAACGTCCTGCCTTTGGAGCTCAGGATGGCCCCGACCTTGCTAGCCTTTCGTAAGGCTTTAAAAACTTGGCTCTGTGCCCAAGCCAGGGGTCCCGAGAGGGTTAAGGGCCCTGTTACCTGGTTGCACTGTTGATTTTTATGTAATGTTTATGATAACTGTTGGCTGCCTATATGTATAATTTGTAATGGTTTTAATTATTGAAATTGTTTGCCACCCAGAGTCACTTGGATTGAGATGGGTGGCTATAGAAATTGCATAAATAAATAAGATAAATATGGGACAGGAAATTGGAAAATCCTGTAGGGATAGCAATTTTTTTTTATTATTCTACTCATCTTGATTTTAGATTGAAATGAATTCAAGAAAAGCTTGCTTTCAAACCCTTTACATCTTTTGCAGACATGCTGTGCTGGAGAGGCAAGTTTAAAGCCGGTCAGTGTACATTGTCACCAAGTTCACCCATTGTACCATGTCAGGATTTGCTTGGCCAAATTGTTCTGAATAAATTACAATTGCATGGTTCATATAGCATATGAAGCCATAAACCATGGTTTACAAACCATGGCACTTAGCAAGATGGCTGAATATAGCTACACCTTTCAGTAATAGTCCTGATGCTCAATGTGTTAGTCACAAGAATGTTCACTGATGCCAAGAAGCTGCACCATTGTAAGCTTACAGGCCTTCAGAGTGTAATAGTATTGAAACAATATACAATATTACCCATATAAATGAACCAGGCACTCCCAACAGGCACCTTGATCCCCCTGGAGGGAACACATGCAATCCTCAGACCCTGAAGGCTTTCTGGAACAACCAGGCCTTCATCGCTCTATGGAAAGCCAGAAGAAGGGGGTTTGTGTGCCTACATCCACACACAGGTGATGCTTTCACACAGTGTTTCTCAACCTTGGCAACTTTAAGATGAGTGTACTTCAACACCCAGAATTCTATCTATCAAATCAATTCATATCTGAATTATAAATTGAATTCTGGGCGTTGAAGTACACGCATCTTAAAGTTGCCAAGGTTGAAAAACACTGCTTTAACCGAACCACCCACAAATGGATTGGCCTGACCTAGGAAACCCCACCGAATGGAATGG